TAAGGCTGTGGTTTGTGTGATTTTTCTAAGAGGATAAAAATGCATGTTTGGCTATGGATTTGATATTGATTACAAATAATAGATTGACCAGTACACTGGAAACAGCCTATCGGTCACAAGACCTCAAAAGGTAACTATGATCTGGGAAAGAGTGTTAAGTCCCAGAAGCCAAAATTATGCCTCTGGAAAATTCCTATGACTCAGACTGGTAGAAAAAAAAAGAAAAAATACTTATGAATTAATTCAACTCCTTAATTACACATTTAGGTAAGGGAAGAGAGAAAGAAAAAGTTTAAATGAAAACACAGTTAACATGGTTTTATTTGATATTTGCTAAGTATCCAGAAGAATTTCATGGGTGAGAAGATGGAGTCAGTTCAACAAAAATAATCTGCCAGAGGATTTAAGAGCAGCTTGCCTCTAAACCTCCTGAACTAACATATATTCTCATCTCAGGTTATTCCAGTGGAAATCTGAGAAGAGATTTGTGTCACGATAAGGTCGTATTAATCCAGAGAAACATTTGTTCACATGCTATTATTTCTGCTCTATTGGAAAACTAACAAAGCTTTAGCTACAAGTTCACACTAATTGTTTCCCATTTTAAAACAATAGCAGGGATAGCAATGCTGCAGATGAATTGATATTTCTGCACTATGTACCTTATTACAGTAAAGCTGAGAGGATAAATATAAAAATATCCTGCAAACCATTTAAGTGTTAAACCCCATCAATATCCACTGCTAAACCAACTAGGCTTAATCAGGTGACCTCAGTAAGTTACAGCATGTAAATTGCTGACAAATTTGGCACATAAACTATGAAGGAAACCTCCCATTCCCACCATAATTTCTTGAGCGTTCTCTGTGATGGGGAGGGACTGCAAAGGAAACTTTTACCCTTCTCCAAGCCCTGAAGCTGAGCAGAGAGCCCCTTTGCAGGAAGAGTAAACCTGGCCTGGGTGTGATGGGACTGCCTGTGCTTTGGGTGAGCAAAGGTCAATAGCCAGGTCAGGGCGGGAGCTAAAATCTAGTCTATATCCAAATATGATATGAGCAGGTGACACATAACTCTCTTACAAGATGCACAAAATTAACGGCACTTCCCAAGTTGTGAAGCTGAGGAGGAAGAAGAAAACATGAAATCTTCAAGTCCAGGTACTAAGCAAGTAAAAAACTGAGAGCATGTGTTGGAAGGAACATCTGGAGGTCATTTGGTTCATTCTCCTCCTCAAAGAAGCAACAAAGTTATTAGGTTTTGGAATTATCTCTGGATGGACTTCCCACAGCCTCTTTGGGCTTTGGTTCTTAATTATGCTTATGGTAGCACTTTTTTTTCCATGCATTTAGTTAGGCTTCCCCTTGCTGCAACTTGTCTCTTGCTGATGACCATTTTGCTGTGCACCTCCAAGAAGTGCCTGGGTCTGTCTTCTCTCTAGTTAGCCATTAGTTAGTTGAAGAAAACAATTAGATTTCCCCTTTGCCTTCTGCTCCCCCCCCCCAGTATTTCCTCACCATCTCAGGGGTCCTCCACTGGACTTGCTCCAGCTTACTAAAGTCCCACTGCTCATGGAGGTCCCAAACCGAATGCAGCACTCCAGCTGCAGCTCACAGGCACCAAGGAGAGGCAAGTGCTCACTTCCCATGACCTGTTAGCAGTACTCTTGCTAGTGCAGCTCAGCAGGCATGCTCCTCTTCTTGGCAAGGGCTCACTGCTGACCCAAGTTAATGACTGCCTGAACATAACTCAAAAAGTGAACATATCCAATGTGCATCTCATTTCTGATGTGTTCTCAAGGAGATGATTGAACTTTTGGAAACTGTCCTCCAATAAAGGGGGATTATGAAAAAAATAAGAAGGGGACAGTGCTCTGCGTTGAAAGTACTGCAATCTGTCAGTGGTGCTAAAATATTTAAATACATTAAAAAAAACAAGGTGAAAGTAGTTTATATGATACAGATGTTCAACATTTTCTCTTTCTTCGCCTCATATTTTATCTACTTTCAGATAGACATTGGACATTGAAAAATTAAAAAAATTATCTTCACTATGCCAGGTTCTTTTCTTTTTTTTTTTTTTAAATAGAAAATAAGATGAAGCTGTTATCCTGAGTACCACATCCTTGGAGATTTTGGAACTAGCAGGTCTCAGGATCACACCTTGTTTTTACACAGGAAAAACTAAATTTTTTTTTTTCAACTTTCTCGTGTTCTCCATTTCAAATAAACTAAATATTGACTTAAGTAAATTTAAGTTAAGAAGAAGCTCTAAATGTACTAGACAGTACATTGGTGTATTAATTCCCCAAATGGTTATTCTTAGTTTCAGACATTTAGCAGCAATTTCCCACAGACCAGTAATTTCATTATTTAAAAATCTGGCAGCAATCACTCATTCTGTGAAGGCAATCTTAATTTAACAGACATTAACTGCAATTGATTAGAGTAAACATAGGAAGTATTATAAACCATAGTAATTAAAATGATATTTTTCTATATATGCACCTATGTAATTGAAATTAAATATAATAATCTCAAAAGATAAAACAAAGTTAAGTCCCACATAACAATATTTCCTCTTTCTTTTTTCCAAGAGGTGCAAAATGACTAAGGCAAATCTGCTGGAGGAATCTCGTAAGTGCACACTGGAACCCATCTGTACTAAAGTAAAATTATTTGACCTATTAACTTTTGATTTTTTGAAGACCTTTTCTACATGGAAAAAATCCTACAGACACTTATTTCACATTGCAATGCCTCACTGAAGCTCATGTTATTTCAGTGTTGTATGCCCTTACTATGTTGACTATTTTGACTATGTTGACTTCCCTGTGAGCACCTCATGTAATCCATCCCTGACAGAGAAACTGCCCTCGCTTCTCAAGGCTGGTGTGAGGGCAAATGGGGTGGGAAGAGTGGGTCTGTGCACCGGGGCCTGAACGAGCCCAGAGGATGCGCTACCACCCTTTGTGGCGCTCTGTCTGATGAAAGGTTTCAGTAGGCACGTTTAACTTCAACATCACTGGAGAAAGCCTTCAGGATATTAGAAGTACCAGGGACAAGTTTTATCTATTTGTTTAAGAAAAATAGTTTATATACTCCAACGCCTAGATCTTAAATTGGTCTTAAAGAGGTCAGTTCAGCCCTGTCTTCCATTCTGCTGTGAGGGATGGCTGCTGGGCTCTGTGGAGCCAACATACCTTCTGCATTTAAAAGACCTTGATGGGAGTTTGTAGGTGCGAGACCTGCTATTAAGCACTATTGCTCTCATAACCTCCTTGATGACTCAAGCCCTTCTTCCTTCACCCTTTGATCAAATGAGATTCACAAATATGGGATGGTCTACTGCCCTGGGCTGAGAACAGGGCTGTGAGCAGTGTTTCCTGCAGTGATATCTGGTCAGGACACTTAACCTTTTCTCTTCACATGTGGAAAAGTAAAGTTATTCCAAACCTGGATTATGGAGAGGTAATAAATATAAGGAATAATTGCAAAGAAAATATTTTGGTACTTTAAAACTAAACATTTTAGCGTCTAACAGTCTAAATGACTTCATTGATCTCCTTTAGTTTTTATAAAATGTTCAGATTTTCAAATTTAACCTCTGTTTACAATGGCAGTGCTTGAACTTCTGAGAACTTTGCCCTTGGGTGAGACGGTGTTATTGTGTATATCCCTTCAAAAGTGGCTGCGTTTAAGCAGCATGTGTGAGGTGAGAGCTGTGACAGAGGACCTGACCAAGGATGTGCCAGCCAAAACACTAATCCAGTCCAATCTGATTAACCAAGACTTACTGTAACACTTTAATGAACGAGAAGGGGGAAGGTAGGGACGGAGCATTTCTCTCAGCCCTCCAGTTTGCTGTGCAGAGCTCTACCTGCTCTGGGCAAAGCACCATGGGTGGCTGTGGAGGGGAGCAGAGCACAGTGAAGGCTTTATGCCCTCCTTCCAAACAGTCTACCGATATTTCAGCGCCAGGTCTATGCCTGGCTGCAGTGGTCTGAGCAAACATCTGAGGGAAAAGTGCAAGTGCCTGCCTGGGAGAAATCACCTCACACTTCTCTGGGAAGGTGTGTGGGGATGGGGATGGAGAAGGAGGACAGCAAGGCAGGCACAAGCCACTGCCTGGGGCCCCCGGCATGTGCCCCAGCATGGTTGGAGGGGGTGTCAATGAGAAGGCATACAGATCCCTTACATATCTACCCAGTAAATTAATCTCTATATGTTACCATAGGTATAGCATTAATTCAAAATGTATTGAAGAGAATTTGGAGTCAGACTCACTGTTTCTTAATTTAGCTCTCTCTTTGTACATGCACTACAGAGCTTAAGGTATAAGCATAGTAGTCACGGGTGCAGTAACTTCTGGTTTTATGAGCAGGCAATAAGGCCTTTGTATCAGAGTCAGGCATTATACTGAAATAATTAAGGCTACAAGAAAAAAAAGTAATGCTTGAATATGGCTATCACTGCCTGAATCCTTTGAGGCAGTATCATTGCCTGAATCACTGCATTTCTGAGCCAGGGGACCCCTCTATTAAAGGTGTTTCAATAAAAAAAAACCCATGAAATCACTTGTAACCTTCAGACTAACCAGCTTGCTTCAGTAATTCTGAACTAGCCCAGGAAGTACAAGCTTTCACTGCTCAAAAAGCTTCTTTCCCTTACTCATAATTATCACTGAATAATCTTACATATTTAGCAATACACTGAATCAAAGAAAAAGTAGTCATTTCATGTTATGTTTGAGCATGTGATTTCTACCATAAGACCAATGCTGAGACAGTGAACTAAGGGCCAGTCCTTCAATACTTAAACAGGATCACTGCTTAGAGCAACCATTGTGTCTGGGTTTTTTGTTTGTTTGGTTTTTTTTTTGCTAGAGATATTCACAATGATCTTTTAGTTATCTTTCAAATGCCATATTCTTCAAATTCTTTTGATCCGTAGTGTACATATTTCCTTATGGCTCTTGGAAGACTGCATTTACTTGTTGCTTACCTGTCCTGGTTGTTCACAGGCTGTCTGGTATCTTGCTTGTTGGCATAATTCTTTTACTCTCTCATATTTTGGTAGTTGATTAGACTGCTGAGTGTTTTTGCTGGATTCCTCCTTCTTGCGTAGAAATTTGCTTACAAAAAGATAAAGTTGAACATTTTAGATACATTCTTCTAAACTCTTAAGAGGATGAATGTAACTTGAAAAGCAAAGCTACCTGAAGGTTTACTGTCTTCTCGGGGAAAAAATCCCCACATTTCTGTTATTGACCTTTGATGAAGGTCAGGTACTGAAAAAAAGGCTCAGGTGATTGGCTGAAAATTGCCCAAAGAGAAAAAAGGGTTGCTAAAATATGTCAAACTGGTACAGTTCATCACCATTCATACATCAGTGTGGTTTCTTTCACAAGGCAAAACTCTCTGAAGCAGTACTCGCCTGGTTGAAAAACTCAGCTGAAGACACAATAGGACTTCCATACTCAGCACTAGCTTGGTTGTACCTTATATATTACAATGCGTCTTATATGCACTGTTTTGTAATACATCACACAAGATTTCCACAATCTGTAAAGTCATAAAGTGCCAAAAGATAATTGCTGTAAAATTTTACCCAGAGAAAATTTTCACAACAACTGGCAAGGTAAGAGGATCTAAGGAGGTATCAGTTTAAAGAGAAGCAGTTATAGTCACAAATCTCATTTAAACATAACTCTTTTCTTAGCTGCAACAAAAATGAGGAATGCTTCCAGCCTATGACGGAAAATACAAAATCAATTGATAAGAGGATTCTGCACAGCTGGATTTGAAACAGAGATTTGGTAAGAAAATAAATCAGATGATGGCATAAGTGGGCATGAGCACAATGTTAAGGAAAGAGGCTAGGAGAGTTGCCAGAAAAGCATGCTTTCAAATTTCTTCCAAGGAAGGGATTTGGAAGCACAGCACCTTCCAAAGGCAGTGGTGGGAAACCAGGAAACAAGTCAGGTCTGTCAGTTTGCTTGCAAAATTTACTACTTCTCTGACCATAAAAAGGAAGAGGAGAGACCAGAAAGGAAAGCATGTACAAGAGAGTGTTCCCAGCAGGCATGCTCTCCCAAAACTCTCTCACCCCTAATAATTACCCTCTTTCCACCAGAAATGTGTCACGCCAAATTTTGTTCTTCTTGTTCGTTCGAAACCTGAAAGTAAAATAATAATATTTACTGCTGGCACTTATGTATAGCACTGCTAGTGTTAACAAATTATTTTTGAAATAACAACTCTCCACTTATATATACACCTGCCATTTTATAGACGTGCTATTTAAGAGACTCTTTGAATGGGAAAGCTGTGGTCGTTGCCATGACACAGTTCATTTTCACAGAGTCCCTTTTTCCACTCAGTTTTTGATTTACTTAGGTGTTTGCTTCTGAACTGGCTAAAAACAATGTTGGGGCCCACCTGTTTCCTGGTCTCTCCAAGTCTAGAAGCTTTAGGACAGATTTGCCATCCATATCTGGAGGTGTGTCAAGTCCTGCTATATCCAGAATTGTTGGAGCAAGATCAATATTCAGAACTATCTGAGGCACTCTGCAAATCAACAGAAACAGTCAAAGTTGTCATGCGTTTGATATGTAAGTCTTCACATTCTCTTGGAAATAGAATGGTAATTAATATTTATCAGGACTTTGAAGATGTAAAGCTCTACACAAGTGTTAAGTTCAGAAAACCTCCTTTGAAGTCTACAACTCAGAATGATTGGCCAGTACTGCAGACTGTCATCACAAAGAAAAAGCTTAGCACAGTAAAACAAGGAGGTGCAGCAGTCACACTGCTCTTATCTCATTGACAATGAGGGCATGATGCCATTCATTCTGATAAACCACAGGGTGAGCAGTAAAGATGAACACATAGTTTTTAAAAGCAAAACCCAGAGTCTAACACTACATGACTATGCATTACACAATTTTCTCATCTCCTGTATAACTTATTCATAATATGCAAAGTGAAAGACCTGCCTCTTTATGAGACTCATTGCTTTACGATAATAGGGCATGCTTTATGAAATTAAGTTGGACAGAATGATAATTACATGCTCTATGAAACATTTTACATCAGGCTCAACAGCTGAGCTAGAGACACAAGAGAACGTACACTGATCCCGGCTCTACACTTGGGCCACGAATAAAGAAAGGAACTCGAATATCAAAGTCATACGGCATTGACTTCCCCTTGACCAGTCCAAACTGCCCGATATGGTAACCATGGTCAGCAGTGTAAATAATGTAGGTGTTCTCCAGTTCTCCCATCTCTGCAAGCATTTGGTGTAACTGCAACACAGCACAGAAAGAACTCTGAGTAAAGTGTAGCAAAACATGTTTTGTGCATAATCATGTATAACCATCATTTATAAGCCTTAAATATACAGAACCAAACATGGCATCAATGAGGTTGTTTACACAGATGTTTTCGGGATGGGCATTTTTACATCTTGTCTTTACTGTGCTGTTAAAAAAATCAGCTTACAAGTTCAATTTCACATTTGACACAGGGGACAATTAAACAGGTCCAGAAAATTAGAATAGAAAAAAAATACAGTAATAATGGCGTAGTTGCATTAGTATGTCCAAAATTCATTGTGTACTCAGAACTTGTGAAAAAAGTCTGCTACAGCTTTAGGGGAAAAGGTACTTAGATTTGATTTACTGTGTTAGTCTACAACTTTCTCATTCCTTACACTTGTGGGCTTGGGAAAAGGCTGTAAATTTTTATTAAAGTTTAAAGAAATCTCTCTAGGGGAAGATCTTTGGTCATGGTGCTTGATTTTGGAACAAAAAGTCATACAAAGTACACCTAATAGTTCATGTATCATGTTACCTATAATTAGCTGTACACTGCATTGCCTAACTTCTGCAAACACCAGTAGACTGACACCTGAGTTGCTGTGATTTGCCAGTTCCCAGATTTCAGCTGAAGGACAAACTTTGAAGGGAGTGTGTGAAATGAACAGAAGTTGTCATCTGTGCACCTGTGTCTATCCATGTGTACACACAGGTGATGCATCTTCTGTTAATACCAGGCTCTATATTAGGTCCAGTGATTTTTCCCTTTAAAAAAATCATCAGTTTATTGACCCAGCAATTAAAAAAGGAAGTTAGGAGCTCGGCATTATATTGCAGAGAACCAGAACTCATTCCTGCTGGGGATAAGTGGAGTAATTCCTCATGGAACAATGACTTTCCCTGGAATGTGGTTGGTGAAGGTAAAGAATGAATGAATGAATTTAGTTACTGACTAATAAGATTGTATTCAGAGTAGTTTCTTGAACTCACTCTTTCCATAGAGTCGTCAACTGACATCAGGGTCTGAAGTCTTTTGCGCTGCAAGACATTTGTAAACTCCATGTGGATGGGCAGCATGGGCCCCGTGTACTGCATAATCCAGTGCTTATCCATGTTTGGTGCATAGTTATAGCTGGGAGTGCTGGAGGAAAAGAACGGATCTGAAAAGTTGTGCAGCATTACAGGCATCAGAGGAAGGTGGGAACTCCTCTAGCACAGAAATAGCCAACAAGCAGTTAAGTTACAAATTCCATGTGATATTTGACAAATACCAACAAACATCACTTCAGTGGCTTCCAAGCTTCATTGGTTCATGCATCACTTCCTCAACATTTTTTAACCACTTGCTTTCTGAGCTTTCTTTCAGACTCAAAGATCACTACAAGATCCATGTTAATATTTGAGATATGCCAAAATGTGTTACTCAACAAATCTGTAATCATTAAAAAGACTTATCTGAATGATGCATCCCATAAAGATAAGCAGAAAAATTAAGAAAGTCAGAGATGAAAGATAAATGCTTCCCTTTAATATTAAGGTAAGCTGCCCTGATGCATCCAGTAGGAAAATTACCTTTAAACAAAACTCAAAGAAAGATATTTTTCAGTGGGATAGAGAAATTTAGTAGTCAGTACCAAGAACACCACCAGTGTTATCAGTTTTCAAGATGCCCCAAAGAGTGAAAACACTGACATTTTCCCTTCCCATCACCAGAGGTGAGTGCAGGCATTACCAGGAGCCTGAGTGCAATCCCTCCAGTTCCTGGGCATAGGGTCCTGACAGAAGACCATGTGGTGGCCTTGAATGAGAGAGCTGAGAAAGTGATGCAGCCAATGCTGTTCCTCCAGATCCATGTTCAGTCTCCATTACTTGCCCTTAGCCCTCATCTAAGCTATGTCACGGTGATGCCTGGTGATGTGGTAGACATGCAAATCCTACCCATACCAAAATAACAGTTATTCATACCTTAAATTCTGTTAAGGTACTATTTTTTCAATGTGAATGTAAAGCACACTGCATTACCAGCATAACATGAACTATGACAACAATATTGAGCTAACACTGCTATTGATACTAGTACTAAGAAGAAGTAAGGGCATAGAGTCCTATCCAAAGCAAAGAATGATGCTTTTGGAGTTTGCACAAACATTGAAGGAAAGATTTAAGAGCAGTGTTCTATCCATTGCCAGTGAATTTTTGAAGGATAACATATAAGAAACAAGAATATGTTCACAGATACACCTCCTTGGAAGAAAAGGTACTGCAAAAAATATGCCAAGTAAGTTTGCTGTACAGACAAGCAGGTTACGAAAGCTCTCCATTGATCCAGTTTTAATATCTAGCACACATGCTAGATATGAAGGTGAAGTGAAATCAAACAAAAGCCATGTCCCATAATGTTTTCACCTATGTATGAGCAGTTTCCTTCTCCAGGAACAAGGAATCTAGGCATTGTCATTTTGATTAAGTTCTTTGGCTGTTATTTTTTCCTGTTTCTGATACACTGCAGTACGTAATACATGAGTTGCAGCATTACATTTGAAAAATAGACATAAATAGAAAGTGAAAAAAATGCTGTTGTGTTATTAGGATAATTTGATTCTTGTGATTCTCTTTTCAGTTTATAATAAAAATGTAATTAAATATTAATTTACTGTTTAGGTACTGAAAATTATGTGAGTTACGGTACATTTTCCCCATTGAAATATTTATGTGTAGTTGTCTTTTCTTCAGAGGTTGCACTGAACAATATCAACAGTGTATACTGATTAAACTTAAAAGTCACACCTTTGACCAGTCCTTTGCATTTCTTAACATGGTTGTATGTGATCACAGAATAGTGGAAGCAGTTGATTTTACTGTATCAGATATCATATGATAATCTATAACTATATAATCCAAGGATAAAAATCAGCTGAAAGGATAACATAATAGACTTGTAGTCAACTGCAATAAATTAATGAAGTCCACATTTTAAGTGGAGACCATTTTTTGAGAATTTGAGAAGTATGCCTCTAGTACACACAGCTAGTTTTGACTAATCTACTTAACCATTAGCCTCAAGAAAAAGAGAAGTGAGACAACAGTATCACAGGATTTTTCAATCTTTGGTAGAGATTAAGAAGTATGAAAAGGTTGGTTCCCTACTTGGCAAAGACAAGCATAAACTAGAATTCCTTTTCTGCTGGGAATTCTTTTATTTCATGTTGAAAGGCCAAAGTTTTTGTAATTTCCCATGGTTGAAATCTGATTTTTAAAATGAATACTGCCACAAAATTAATAAAATTTATCCCAGGAGCACAGCCCTTGTGTTGTTGGCTAGCCAGCAGTCCTAGCAGAGGGACTGATGGAGCCCCAGACCTTGAAGAAGCAAATCTTAGGAGTTTTGGTCACCTATCAGTTATCAGGTACACTGACAGAAGAGGATACTTCCAGTGCAAACTTTCCTCTGTTTTTTGGAAGTTTATCAAATGAGATATTTTCCCATGAAAGAGCTCAGTTTTGATTAATCAGCATTTTCTAGTAAAACCCTACTTTTTTCAGTGGAGTCCTGAGTGCCACAGCCACAGAGGGATGAGGTGGCTGTGAGCTATGCTCAGCCGGCAGCACCATGACAGCCTGCTGCTGTGCCAGGAAGGAGAGCCAGCTGCTGAAGCAGGCTCAGGTCTCATGTTCCCAGGCCATTGTGAGAAGCCTCCTCCACATAATGGATAATCTTTAAAAGCAGCACTCAAGGATTTAGCAGGGCAGTTAAAACCTTTCACAGACACTTTCCAAATGCATTTTGAATTTTCTGGGTGAGAAATGCAGCAGGCAGAGAGTGAGCAGAATTTTCCTCCCAGACAACTCAGGGAACGGGTCCTTCTGTGAAACATCCAGTGTCACTGGCTGATGGATAAATGTGAAAGAGGGGTCCAGAGTGTCAGAAAAAGAGTACTAGGGAAGAGACAGAAATGAATTCCAACACCCCACAGCTTTTCTGTGTTCCCTGTGTACCCCTGTTTATTGGGCCTTTCAGAAATCCACCAGAATGGCACTGGTTTCCAGCCACAAGACCTGACATTGCCCTCAGACCTATCTACCTTTTTTTGGTGTAAAACAATCAAACAAACACTACAGAGGTGAATCCTGGGGAGAATATTGCTGATTTCTGAAAACTTTTCCATGTAAATAGACCTCTCCCCTGTCAGTGATAATTGTTTAACACAACATTTTTTTTGAAGCAGCTGGAGATATCAGCTAAATGTTTAGCTGTTATAAGCCCTTGAAAGTCATCATAGTACAGTCACTGTTTCTATTCTTCCATTTTTGGGAACGACTTCCGTAAGGTAACGCTGACATCTATATTTCCTTGATTCCTCTTTGCACTGGGAGTATAAAGTTGAAGGTATGTACCTTCTTCTATTGCCTCAATCACAGAGGCTATCTTCTGCTGAGCACATTAGTTGATTCATGATCAGCAGACAGTGTCAGGTAGCCCACTATTTTCAGGTTGTCCATGGCCTCTAAGTCTGGCAAGGAGCTACTGTAGTATTTGTCATTCTTGTAGAACATACTAACCTGGGCAAATCTACATTGCTCAATTGCCCACTTACATTTGTCCAACACATTCCATGCAGAACTTAATACACAGAGACTTCTTGGTACTTCATGACAGATGTCTTCTGGCACTGGGCAGGACACCAGAAGATGCCAGATTCAAAAAATTTTGAACCGATACCCCCAGTTTAAGTAAAAAAACCCCCAAATACATAACAATAACACATGTTGAACATGGTCAGACACTTTCCCACAAACACATCCTCATAATGAGAACAGTAATTCACCCTGAGATTTTGTAATCATTCACCTACTGTGTAAATAAATTTACAGAATCATCTAAGGTGATAATTAAATGTTCTATAGGCTAGAGAAGGAGTAAATATCTTTAAGCACTAGTGCACTTTTCTCTTTAAAGGAAGATTCACCACAAAATCTATCATTTCTTTATCTGTAAGCATCGGTTCAAATAGGTACTTATAGTTATGTTGAGAGAAAAGGAGTTGTATTAGCAGTCACCTTGTGGTCAAAAGGCCTCAGTAACTCTTTCTGACAACATATTTGTTATATTTATATATTTAAAATTGAACTTCAAAATAAAGAATGCATCTTATTTGGCTTTTAAGGTACCACAATAACTTTTAAGTTCGACAAGAAATAAAAAATCCAAACCCAACAACCTAAAACAATGGATGTTTGTACTTGAGGATCTATTAAAATGGGGTTCCCAAGCAGCAAACAATTTGGAAATGAATTTCACTATCTTCTACTAGTAACTGAACTGAATTGTGATATTCAATGAAATAAATGGAATATAGCCTTTTTGCAAAATATTATATAAATAAATAACATATAAGTATGTAATATATAAAAATATCATTAAAAGATATTTTACAGTTTAAGAAAATAATGAGAGATTCAACTTGACTATTGCTATTTATCCAGTTGTGGTATCTGTGTGGAAAAGAAATAAAACAGAGTATAGCATGTTTTAAGAGCTTCCAGAATTCAGTACAACTTTAAATTAGTTTGCTTTCCAAAAAATTGATCTAAATATATACAAGTCTCTAACAGATGGGTTAATGTGGAAAGAAATAAATATATTTACAAACATTTGTTCAATTGCTCACAGTAAAAATCTGTGTTTTCCCCTATTTACAATCTCCTGATTCTCTTCTGTTTCTATTCAACAAAAGAAAATTATGTTCACAAAAATACTGCCTAAAAGATATTGGTTTTAATAATTCCATAGAGTTCTCAGGGGTTTTAATCCCCAAAGTGTTTGGCTAATCTGTTTGGATTGGGACTCCTCCCATTAATGAAAATAATACAGTACTTAGATGACCCAGGAACATTTTCATTTCATAAAAATAAAAGTCAACAACATTTTCAAGTAATACCTACAGTAAAACTGATTGAAAAAAATTAATACTTTCTGTACAGAATTAACACCTCTATTATTCTTTGAAATATGACTAGCTAACATGGCATAAGTGGTCATGTTTCTTCAGAAAAAAATGTAAATAAAAGAAGGAAGCAAATTCTTTGTTTCCAGGGAAAGCAGACTTCCAGGATTAGACACTGTTCTTGGAAAGCAGGAAGCCTAGATTCTGGGCAAAATTAAAAGTAAAAAAGCCCCAACATGACCAGTGCCATGGTCTGTACTAATGTGAAGTTGAATTTCACCCTACTGGGTCTGCTTTTGCTGCCTTTTAAAAGGGAAATCTTTAAACCCAGTGATATTTATAGATCTGGGGATGTGAGGTATGAAAGTTTTACTCTGAAGTGTAACACAACTGCTATATTTCAGAATAAAGAAGTAAAAAAGTTGGTACCTGTTAAATATAAAACCTTTCTATTTTAAGAAACATTACTTGTTGCTGCTGCAGAACCTCATTGTGCAACTAGAATCCTACTTACATTTCTATTTCACCCCATTTCTTCTAGTCTTGTTTCAAGCTACACTCGCAATGACACACGTGATAATTTTGATCATTTATCTCTACGTCAGGAGTCCAAGCAGGCCTCAGGCCAGCAGTGACACAAGACATTGATATGTCAAGATTTACTACTGATGCAAATGTATGATTCCACTCTAATGGTCAAATGTCCACATTACAAGACATACCATTGTAACTGCCAGAGGCTTCAGACTCGGCCTCGGGGACTCCAGATACAGTCACCTCACACCCCAAAATCACAGTTAAGACTCTGCTGGGAATTCAGAGGTGCAAGAGCATTTCTCTTCATGCTTTGCTACTGCAGACACACCACTACCTCCACACCAGGTCTATCAGCACCTATCATATGATCTTTAAATGGAAATATAAAGTTCTGCCTTTCGTATCATCTACCCTTTCTCACATTAGCTTGCGAAGGTTTCTGATCTCTCCCAAGATATCATTTCTATCTGTTCCTCCCAAGATCTCTATCTTGGCAATAGAATTTCTTCCAAGTAGTCATAAAATCTTGCTGTCAGTCCTCCTGCCAGCCCAAGGATCTTTAACTCAGCCCAAGGATCTTTAACTCAGCACAGCCAGCAGTGTTTCAGATTTCCATTTTTTACATTCTTCGGTAAACCTGCCTCCTGCAGATTTTTGCTTCTAATGTTTGTTTACTCACAGCTATAAACAGCTTAGGTCTGATTCACAGTTCCCCTAAGACTGGTTCACACTGGAAGGTAAAGGGAAGTTAAAGTGCCAGAGGCCCTGAGCATAACTGAGAATTCAGGCTTCCGTTAGAGCACCCTTTGAGTCAGAGCTTTCCTGCTTAGCTGTCTGACGGAACGATACTGTCGTGTAACATAACTTCACGTTTAACAACAACATTTCCAACTCTGCTCTCCCACAGATGATGTTCATTACCACAGCAAAAAATCTATGTATTGCTTTCATCTAGTACATCTTCTCCAGTCCCATTTTCTTCCAGAGAAGTGATTTCTGGGCATAGCTAGAGTACATGCCTTAGTATGATTTATTTTCAGAAAATATCACTCATTATGGTCATAGCATCCAGGATAAAGCTTCAGAAATATTTTTAGTTGTTAGAAATAGGACATATTTTAAGGAGAGGAGAAGTGGGAGAGTGAGAGGGAGAACTGAAGCTTAAAAAAAATAGACTGCTGCTTCTGGTAAGATATAGTTTGTGTTTCATTGTAAACTGGAGTTAATAAGAATTAGTAGGAATCACTTAATATTAATAATTAAACAGTGTACACATCATTACTGTTCTTGTCCTTGTAAGACCTCTCATGCCACTCAGCAGGCTGTTTGTGCTGAGGAGGACAGGACTGTACATAATGATGGTATGTAATTCTTCATTTTCTTTTTGGCTCTGATTTTTTTTCATAAATCTTATGGACTGTGCTACTGTATTCATTTGATTTTCTTCTTGCCATGTTGATAAGGGAGGAACTGAGACCAACAGACACCCACATTTGAGGGCAGAACTCTCCCTGAGCTGGAGTAGCCACTCCCCTCTTCATATGTGCCAGTGGAAAACTTCTTCTAAACAAACTTCTGGGTTGTGGGTTGGTGTTTTGTTTTGGTTTTTTGGTGGTTTTGTTTGTTTGTTTTTTAATTTTTAGACGAGGAATTTCAATCAAATGGCACTTTACCAGCAAAGAGACATCATATAATTTAATGGTCTGCTTCAGCTACTGTTCTTTTAAGCAAAACTTCCCCTCACATGTGGTTGACAGGCTATCTTAATCCTTGGTTTGTAGGTATAACCTTCCATCTCAGTTTGTTAAGCCAGCAAGCAGCTTTTGACCTGGTTTCCCTTCTTTGTTGGAGGTAGGCGTTACAGTAACATGATACAGCAACTACATTTTTAAAAACAAAATCCAAGGTCAGATGGCTGTCACCCAAGGTCAGAAAGAAAGGGATTCAAATGGTGCTTGACCACCAAGGAAGAAAACCTAAGGGTTAAATGTTCAAATTACACAAATCTTGGCAGGAGGGATTTTATTGTTCTTGTGCTGTTTTCACATGGAGCACCAAATATTTCTGTAAGAACTGAACTAATATCTTTTAAAGCATGTTGCTAGAACATAATATTTTTGGTAGAGGAATCAGTTGTTTGGAATCTTCAGCCACCCAAATTGGCAGTTTATCTTCATTTTGTCTCATTTCTTAGTCTGCAGACTGAACTTTAACACATGCGGTCAGTCGGTGCAGTAAGAAACACAAAACAACGCAGCAAGGATCTCTTGAGGTCAATAGAGCAAAACATCTTTGCAAGAAGGTTGCCAAGAAATTAACAACACCAGAAGAAAAGAAGCAGCACAGCCGAGTGCTCTCACAAGTAGCCTAGCAAAGCAAGATATTTAGACCCCAGGAGTCTACACAAACAAAAATTAATTTACACTCAAGTACTTAAATGAAACTAAGCCTCGAACAGATAACTAGGATCTTCTCTTGGTCTTTGGAGGTAACGTGCAACCTGTATAAGGTGGAGAGGTAGTTAAAAATTTGGAGACTAACTAAATCCATTTGGTCAAGCAGCACAAACTAGAAAACAAGTACGCTGAAAACACCAAGCAGTAGAAAGTGTCAAAAGCACGATAAACCAAAGCAAGTTCCTACAAGCACTTTTCAGAAGACAGTGAGCAAGGAGCCTAAAATGAGTTGCTTTGGCCTGGGGAGATGTAGGGGGAGATTCAATGATTCCAGTGCTTTTCTTCCAGACATGGTCCCCACAGCTGAGCGGAAACAGTTTGAATCCTACCCTCCTGTATGATGGATAGTCCCTCAGCAGACAGGATGGCTTGCCTGAGGCCAGGCAGTCTGTGCCACTAAATGGGAAGCAATCTGTTGAACGGGGTGAGAACAAGTAGAAATAACTCTCTTGCTATGAAAAGTGGCAATTGAAAGGAGACATGTGAGAGATCCATTAAATTTGATGTAGTGGCTATTCATTATTCTTCACAGGATGGGAAGTAAGAAACACAGGTGGCATCACCAACTCCAGGTTTAGAAGGAAAGAAAAGGCAGACCTTTGTCCTCAGTGCAGGGAGTGACACCATGGAACTTGCTGCCACAAGATGGTGGGGTTGCCATCAGAGCTGAAAAAGAGATCAGTCCAATGCAAAGAGAATGGGGCACATTGACCTAGATGCTTCATCTAAAGTGATGATTTTCAGAAGCTGGAAAAACAGAGGAAAAAGTTTGTGTTTTTTTTTTCCCCCCTAAGCATTCCCTGCTGCTTTCTGCTGGAGCACATAATTCAGGATACTGACTTAAAAAGTTCTTTCATACAACCCAATATTACAGGTTTTATGTGTTCATGTCTATTATTTGCAAACTAATATCTCAATTTCATTAGTTCTCTATACAGGTAGAAATTATTCTGAATACCTAAATAACTACAAAACATGGCTGACTGATTTGCATTACTTGCACAGTCTAATCTCAGGAATGTGTAATCATTGAGAACATAAGATTATGAGGTCAGGGAAAGTGGTGTATCTAGAAAGTAGCACCCAGTAAGAGGATAAAAAAATACCAACTAACAAATATTTAACCATATGCGACGAACAGCAAATCTTTTTCTGGCCCCAACTAGTGATCAGTTTATATACGCAGTTTATGCAGTAACTGCTACATTGCAATTTTAAAGAAGTTAATATAACTACAAAAAACATTCTTGGGAATTAGCTACTGCAGGGTGCCCAAAATGCAATTTGCAGATCAAGAAGCTTTCCAACTGTCTCATGAAGCCGATTTATCCTCATTTAGAGACATCAAATCAATGTACAATCCAGCTGTAATATTTTATTAAGGTAGGGTTTGATGTGCAAAGACACTGTTTAAGAACAAATGGAAAGACCAGTCTACAAACCCATGGTAGACACAAGTGCAGTGGAAAACTTGCATAGCATCTCACTATAAGGAAAAGGACACAGAATATTAAGGTATGAAGCAAGATGTGTAATCCAAGACTATCTACAGATTTTTAGCTAGAGTTGGTTTCAGTTCTAAAACTAAAATGAATAATTCTTTTTTTTTCATTATAGTTTAATCACCAGGAAAGATTAAGGATGCTATTTTAAAATGCAGTCTAATAAGCTATTTTGGGAATCTGCCCTTATCTAGTCTATAAACAAATCTGGTGCACTCAAAAGCTTCAAAAGGGTGTTTTTATTCTCAATGCATTCAGTTTGTTAGAGCCCAGGAAGCACATATCTTAGAGGAAAATGAAGGAAGTAATATCTTTCCAACAGATCCTGACCTGTGTCTACATATTTTCAGGGTATTGTAAGAAGCTGCCCTTACAAAGCCGAATACTGACCTTTTAATCTCCCACAACTTCCCAGGAGGAAAAGAGCTTCTCTCTGCTTTAATAATGGTCAGAGCTGTCACTCTCCCCCGCAAAAGGAGCAAGCACAGCAAAAAGCCAAGCAAACATTCACTGCTTACTATGAGTTTTTTATATTTGAGTTCTCTGTTCCTGCAATGTCTCCATAAACAAATTCCTCACAGAAGCAGGCACAAGGAGTGGGTCTGGTAGTATGTGATTTTGACTTACATATGCTGTGAAGCGTTGGGGTAGAGCTCTGAGAACTGTGGTGCAGAATCCTCGGGGCCATGGGGTGCAGCGTGGCTGATGACCATCATTATGGGCCTATGGGGATATATCCTCTTAGACATTCTGAAGTAATTAATGCTCTCATTAGTGATTAGGTCTGTGAAGTAGTCCTGGAACATACGATTAACACAAAGCAAAAGTTACAAAGTGCATGATTAATTAGATCACATACTATCATGTTATTATGTTATTTTCAAGTCCTCATTAAAGCTCAGATCAGGAAGTAAAAGCATACCATCAAAGAGATGTATGATTTGAGGGAGCATAGGGGAGACCGAGAAGTAATTACTTTCTTAAGCAGGCAATGCCACATAAAATGAGACGGTATTTTGCAAATCAGATATAAAAGAAAGCATTAAGTAAATTTGATTACCAGATTTCGTTATATAGTGCCAAGTAACATTTAAAGTGACAGACTGTACTGACAAAGATATGTTTCTTGAATTTCATTGATAAAACACTTCACAAGGTAATGGTTCCCAACTAACATTGACTCTTATGCTGGTTTTATGTTTACATAAACCTTTCTTGCACAATCTTTGTTCAGACTCTACTTTCACATCTGTACAAAGTGGAACAGATTGCAAAAAAATCTTTATCAAAGAAATTGCAAATGAGAATGCAGGGTGCAGTTGAATTCCTGCGGGCTCTGTTCATTTAATTGTGCAACTTTAAGCAGTGCAGCTGCTGAGATTAAGGTTGTGACTCGCTAATAAACTGGCTTAACCTACAGCCAAGGTGGCAAATGGAAGCCTACAAGGGGAAGGGAGGAAATGGAACTAAGAAAAAAAGATGAAAACTTAAATTAAACCACCTGCCACCTTAGAGTATTCACTGTTGGCCTGGAGGTCTAGTGCGAGCTTCATTGAGAAAGTGCTGAGACAATGTTTGTAATTTCAAGCACTTCCAGGCATGACTAATCTTATGTTGTGGATTCGAGGCCCCAAACAGCTGCAAAAGCAGAGCCTCAGGGACAAGGTCTGTGTCGCATGTCAGTGCTAGGACAAGCCAACCAGCTGTGACCTCCTCGCTCGCCCACTCCCTGTCCCCCTGCCCCTTCCCCTCTCCTGTAGCAAACTTGGAGTGCACACAGTAGCCCTGGCTGCTACAAACCCTGCAAGCATATGGAAGAGACAGTGAGTGATATTTTAGTTTCCAAAATGGAAAATGAGTGCCAGGCACCAGGGTTGTGATAATTTTTGGGTTTGTGGCCTGTTCAAGTGAAATGCCTATATGACTACTCTCCCAAAGCATATGATCCCCTCTTGCTTCCCTGTTTATTCTAGCTACATACACTGTGTGTGTAAGGAACGTATAACTAACCAATACTCTTTATTTTCTTTTTTTTTGCTCTCTATAAATATATAATCAGTATCATGTAATTTCTATGGATGGGAAAATCAGAAACAGGCATTGCGAGCTTCCAATAAAATCTCATTACATGGGTCAGAAACCACAGCTGCAACATCTGTATCATCTTCCTTGAGCTAGTTTGAGGAAATTCCAGATTGCCTTCTGCAGGCTGGAAAGTCTGCGATCTGCGCTCCTAACCGTTTCCGAGAAACTTCATGGCAGTGGGCAGGTCACCTTGGCATACTTTCCACACTTTGTCAAGAGCACGCACAAGCTCTGAACTTTTCCAGTGGCTGTGTTCTTGCACTTATCTATTCTCATAGTCATATCCGGAGTCTGACACCACAGGCATACAGCCTTCCTTTGGTGTGCACTGTATAATGGAGAACAACATTAACTAAGGTTTCTGCTGCAGGTAGTAAGTGACAACACTCAGCAAACTTTAAAGTTCAGTGGCACAAGGGGCACAATTATTTTGGGTAAAGGTTTCTATTTACTTTTTGCTCCTGCCACCAAACCATCACTCTCCTGGAGACAGGAAGGGAGGGTGGGAAAGCGAGAGGGAAGAATCATCAGACTCCACTGAAGAGCCCTGGGAAATTTTCTTCTGTTGAGTGATTAATATTCTCACATGGAAATTGATCTGCAATGCCCTGGAGAGAAAATGACATCTCAATTTCATGGTTGTACTTGGTTACGTAATTAATTACCTGGTTAATTAATTATCTGAAAGCTATTTTTATATGGATTAATCATGTGGCATTTATGTGTCTGGAAAATACCTTTGCATAATCAAATCCATGCTTCTCTTTGTTACCATTGCGAGAAATGGTGTAATTATAGAAGCGAGAGTTCTTCACTAATCCAACCCACTCTCTCCACCCAGGAGGGATGTAGCTGCCATTGTATTCATTGAGGTATTTCCCAAAAAAAGCTGCGAAGTAAAAAAAAAAAAGAACACACACACACATGAGGCTTTGCAATCCAAGTCTTTTAGTCTGAGTCAAAAGAATGCATGAATGAAGAGAAAATGTGTTAGAATGAGTCAGAGTTGCTTTACCAAAAATCTTCCTTTTATAGCTTAGAGGGTTTTGAAATTAAAATAAGTTATTTCCAGAGTTTTATGAGAGTTGAAAGCCTTCGTGACTCTACGTTTTATTCTTAATCTTTTAGAATCTAGTGCTCATGCGAAATGTTTTCAGGCTTTTTTTTTTTTAGAAAGAGTATGTTGCCCTTCATTTCCACTTGAATATGGAATAAAAACTCAGTGCCCAGAGGATATATCTGAGAAACACCTTGTGGTTTTAAGCAAGTTCTGTGATGTTTTGAAGCTCGGCTTCTAACTTGAAAGTTTGGGCTTGCTATCCTGGCTACATTTGCTAGTTTGATAAAAGGTTTGAAAAGTCCAGATCTCCATCCTACTGTGACACATTTGGGTAGAGCAAGAGAGAACACCCACCCTGCTTTGCTGCCACATCTTCTCTAAGGCAAAACTAACAGAGACAAAGGCTTGGAGGTCAAGCACCTCTACCTGGCCTGCCACACTCTCTGTATTTTTTTCCATTAGGTGACAAGTCAGAACCCACTCAGACTAAAAATTTCAGCCTTTGCGGTCGGGCCCAGGAGGGTTTGTAAGTGCTCCTGTCAATTCCTCTGGAAGGAAGTAAGAAGAAAAGCAATCTCACAATGCAGCTGGCTCCCAGATATCTGGAAGTGTGGATTGCCTATGCCAAAGATAGACACCAAAAACCAGCCAACTGGCTTTGGGAAGGAGCATTAATGCTGGCATGGCACCGTGGCAAATGGAGCCGTGTTGCTTCTAGGGAGAGATGGGCATGGAAGGTCTTTAGCTGTATATGTATGGTCTGTGGTCTGGATAGAAGAGTCAGTTCAGATGGCTCTGCCCTGTTTTTCCACTGCCTGGGAAGTGTGGTGACAAAACATCTGATTAGGTCTACAACTTGGATTTTTAGGGACTTATTATCTCCAGCTCAGTCCCAGCAGGTTACTCTGTGGGTGTCTCAGTAACTTCACTGTTTCCATCTTTAATTATCTTGAGGTTTACTAGACCCTGGAGGGTCACCTTTGCCAGCAGTTCTGCTGCCTTTGTCCCCAGCAGTCTGCACACTGGTACTCCAGGTGCTCACAAAATGAGAAACTGCTGAAGAGGAGGGAATGACACAGACCTCTCCCTTTACAGGGGTGCAGCTCCTCTGGGTAAGAGCTGCTTCCCTCCCTGCACCCCTCGCGGTGCCCCACTCCCTACCCTGAGTGCAGCCAGGCCTACCTGCAAAGAGCTGCTGCCCAGAGCTGCTGTCTCTCAGCTGGGCCATGGGACACACCTCAAACCCCCGTACTTGTTTCCTACTAGGAAATGAAGTCACATTGGAAAACCTCACATCCAACCGAGACACATTCAATCTTACCAAAAGAGCACATTTGTGGAAAGCCTTAAATTATTCAGATCTAATTGATGTGGGCATGGGGAACTTCTTGGGAAAATTGGTGGAAAAATCAAAATGTTCATAATTAAGACTTGCCTGAGGCAACATAAATATGATGCAATCCAACTGTGGAACTGCCAAATGTCACTAACCAGAGATTATAGTCATATATAATCTTACTTTCCTATACCACGTGGAATGTGACATATAAACAAGTCCTACAGACACTAGACCAGGCTTCCAGATCTTCCTTCCACAGCCACCAAGAAAGCAATCCAGCCTGTCTCCTTTATTTTCCTGAGGCCAACCAGAAGTCAAGAACTGTGAGGTGAAGAGGGTGGATGACAGTGGGCAGGAAATATGTGCCCAGCACTGTTTTCTCCTGGAATGGAAACCATGCCTCTATCTAAGGCAGCCAAACTGGGTTAAATTTTCAGTCAGATGTCATGGGAAAGTGTAAGGGTAAAGGCTGAAATACTGTGAGAGGGGAAGCCAAGGAACGAGTAGAAGGGGAAAAGAAGTCAGAGAGAGACAGCAGCGAAGAAAAGTATGGTGGAGTGACGTGACTGAGAGAGAGGAAGCATTGTTGAGCCAAGCAAAATCAAGGACAGTCTGTGGTTACAGGGGAAATCTGAGGTCAGCCCTCCCGAGTCCCATTCCAGATTCACCAGCAGCTACTGCACAACCTTGGGGAACCTCTGAGTGCTGTGCTCATCAGTAGAGGGCTCTACTGCCAACCTGCCTCCCACAATCATCAGAGGCTTTCAAGCTTGAAATGGGAGTTATGGCCATTTATCATATAAGATGGTTTGATTACCCCATCTATTATTAAGATTGACTTATACAGAGACCTGGACTCTGCTATTTACAGTCTTGCCAAACTTCAATCATTAGTGATTATAGTTTCCATGCTATCTGACTCAGGCTGCATTTTGCTCTATGGAACCTTTTAGCCAAACAGTTCAGCAATTTCCAAGGAAAGGGCTAGGGGAAAATAAACAGATTTGCCCATTTAAAAATCATTGTCAAGCTTTTCTCTAAGAAGTTCTAGTGTCTGTAGGTTTTGATGTAGTGCCTTTTTAAATAACGGAGGTGGCTATGAAAATGTCTCAAAATGACCAAGCTCCGAAAAACTGTAGCACACAGATGATTAGGAAAGTCTTACTCCAGTTTCTCAGTTTAACATCACCATGGGGTGTTCCTTTATGGACCTGAGAAGGTTCCCACAGTTTCAGTTTTGGCACTAAAACAAAGAGCCATCAGCTTCTTTTTCTCCTTCTCTCCTCTCTCTTTTGATATTTATTACCTGAGAGAAAGCCACCAGCATAAAAAGCAGAGATGAAATGACCTGGGGCATAAGGATGAGAACAGATAAACTGAATTTAGAAAAGGAAAGGGTGGCTTGGAACTGGTGGAGGCCAATTCATCTTGGAATTTCCTTGCTTTAGATTACTTAATTTTCTAACTTTAATAATGTTTTGTTAGCTCACTTTTGGCCCCCTGAACCCCATATTTTGGTGCATGCTATGAGACTGTGGATTGACAGCCTGAACCATTCACCTTTGTCTTGGCAATGATTTAGTATTTTATCATAAAAATAATCTCAGTGCTGTCAAGTTTTAAGCAGCTCCCTGAATGACAGCTTGCAGAAATAGATGTTTTCCCCTGTTGCAGAGTAAACCAGTTCCCATGTCAAACGTGTAGCAAAGCCCCGAATACCAGCAGAAGCTCCAGTGGCTGTGATAATGGATTGCATTTGCCAAACTGCTTTAACCAAAACTGATTTCTTGGTCAAAAGCTCAGGAGGATATGAGTAATCATACAGATGAAGGGAAAAGACAGGCTTTTACTGAAATATAAGAGTTCAGCCCTGCACCATGAGGTTTTCTGAGTACCACTGAGTATAGGATAGGTTGAGTGAGTCACAGCTGGGGCACTTAGTGTCTGGCTCTTCATGGTCTGAATGAAGACAAGTACCAGAGTAAAAGGAGAGCCTAGTAGTGTCCATGGGGCCAAATAACAATCAGCAAATAATCATGATGGGTGTCCTAGTTGTTTTCTGTTTAACTAGAGGATTGTAAACAACTAAACCACAACGGAATATGCCATAGAACCGCCCAGGAACTGACACTGTGATGTGCAAACGCTGGGTCTTCACATGCTTGGTTTGTAGAGTCAACCCCCATCCTTAACTCAGGTGTAGTCCAACACCTGCTGAATTGCCCAAGTCTGAGTACTGACTGGGAAGGCTCAGCTTTAAAAGCTGCTCATAGTCAGCAGTTAGAGGGTTTAGAAAGCCATTTCTGCTTGTAATTAGTAAAATGGAGATTATGACTCAATAGGTAAAAGCCTCATTAAAAAGTAATGCCATTTCAAGGGACATCTTTTCATTATTGCATGTAATGGCCCCCATAGGGATAACAGGAAAGATAAATGCCTGCTTTTGCATTTTAATAACACAATTTTTATCTGCATTCTGGCAGTTTTGCTAACTGTTCCCAGGACACATTGTTATTTTTAATCACATGTAGTGTAGCTTAATATATCAGAATAATTGTATTCTGTATGACTACGTTCAATTAAGTTTATGCAAACAACAACACATGGCATGGTGAACAGACATCTATGTATCTCTGGAGGGGCTGCAGAATATACATGTTTGCACCTAACATGAATAGATGCCTTAATACAAATTTTTGTTTTCCCTTTAGCAATTAACTAATGATTTCTGAACTGGACTGAGAGATCCAGGCGGTTACAATGAGTGCAAGACAAAGAGAATTTGACCTAGGAGATCTCTGGAGTTTGAAGCCAGAATACTTACAGCTGAATGTGATTCAAATTCTCATAATTCCTGGGACATTTTTCCCCAGCATTTTTTACAAGCAATTATGACTAATGTTTACAGTATAACACAATAAGGTTAGTCCTCTAACTCCTGTCAGCATTACTGGATTAGTGTACAGGTGAACCGGGCTACATCTACTAGTGAGACATCTCTGCACTTCCATGGATCAAAGGATGTATGTTTTACTCTATACCCTTGTTATTTGTTGAGGCTTATGGGAATGTTTCTGATTTAAAACAAACCCAAACCTCTAAAAAGGCATGCTGTAGAAAGGTTTAGTCACCGTGACCCAGACAAGAGCTTTATGTAGACAGCCCACTTCCTTTAACAAAGTCAGGAAACCATTTACAGGAGTTGCAAAGCACTGTTTATATGACATTTCAGGGCTGACACGCAGTGATTCTGTGCTTCTGGGGACAGAGTCCAACATAGCTTCAGCTTCCGGATTATTCCAGTAAATTCCTCCTTACTTTCTTCCCATTATGCAAGCCATAGATTCAAACCCGAGAAGTTTGATTTTTCCCTTCTGTTGTAAAATTGCAGAGCATTAGCGTATCACATCATAGAGGTGCAGAAAGCCAGCTTAGTATGTCAGCACCACCCAGGAAATGAAATAAGCATTGTCCCCAAAAAAATATGGTG